TGCAGCTGGCATGAGCGGCGAGCGGCGAGGAAGATCTACCGAGGAGGAAAAGCCCGGATGACCCCCTAGTGACCCCTGCCGGTCACACCGCGTAATTAATTGTATAATTGTATGATATGTACTTTGTGAGCCGCCCAGAGTTCCCCATTGGAGGGAGATGGGCGGACAATAAATCGAATGTAATAAATAAATAAAATAAACATTGAATACAAGTACTATTCTATCAACTGAATAGGATTTTAGACATTTCAGTATGGCTTTCAGATAAATTTCTAATAAAATTAGTGTTAATTGTGGATATAACTAACCCCCTGCATCCCTGCATGCACTTCTGATGATGTTCATAATATGAATTATGTATATAAATTATATTTGTCAAATTCAGTTGTATAAAATGTATACAAGTAGTCCTCGACTTATGACCAAAATAGAGACTGGAAAATTTGTCATTAAGCAGTATGGATGTTAAGTGAAGTATTATATGACTGCACCTAATTTCATGACATTTTTGCAGCAGTTGTTAAGTGAATCACTATGGTCATTAAGTGAATCATGTGGTTGTTAAGCAAATCACATGTTAAGTGAATCACACAGTTCCCCATTGATTTTGCTTGTCAGAAGCTGGCTGGGAAGGTTGAAAATAGCGATCACGTGACCCTGGGACACTGCAACTATTCTAAATACATGCCAGTTGCCAAGTGTCCAAATTTTGATCATGTGACCGTGGGAAGCTGTGATGGTCTTAAGTGTGAGGACCAGTTGTAAGTCACTTTTCGGCACTGTCGTAACTTCGAACAGTCGCTAAACAAATGGTCATAAGCCTAGGACTACCTGTATAAGTGAAGTAACTTACTAATCCTTCTATATAAAAGTATAGATTTAACATTTTATATTCAGTTTATTTTTCATTACATAGTTCTCATCCAGAAATAATTAAGGAAAACATTAATCATTTTGCATTCACTTTTAGGGAAGTACAGTATATCGTTCTCCAGAATATAGCAACCATGTCGATCCAACGCAAGGTTTGACATGTTGATTATATACATTTAAAATAGTTCATTTTGATCTCCTTATTTGTTATTGATTTCTGATTCTATTCTTTCCTCTCCAGGGGATGTTTGAGCCTTACTTGAAGAGTTTCTATGTTAGATCAACTGATCCAACCATGATCAAGACATTAAAGGTACGCTTGTTTTAAGTATAATATAATGTCCTTGACATATTGCTTTGCTTTGTTAATATTGAAAGAAAAAGACCAACGTTGTCAAGATTCATTCATTCCAAAACTATGATGCTCAATGACAATATGAAGGCGATACTGTTCATATTTTATTTGGGAATAGAGCTTGTTGATTCAGTGAAGCCTTCCATCTTCTGAAACTAAGGCTGTTTCTGTGATGATGGGATTCGTAGTACTCAGTAAAACCTTAATTTAACAGACCATTTGGGGAAGGGTGTCTAGCAAAATATTAGCAGAATATTCACTCAATCTAAGAGGTGGAAAGAGGGAAGGAAAATGTAATGGGAGTAGGAGAGGGAGAAAGAGAAAGAGAAAGAGAAAGAGAAAGAGAAAGAAATGAGGCAAACCAGAGAAGATGGAGGGAAAGGATGGACTTTTGCATACACTGGAGAACACTCCAAGTGGGTTCTGTAGGACAGGGTGAGGGGGGGGTAGGACACAGAAAGCAGAATCTGAGGGTCCTGATGGTAACAGGTGAGGAATGAGAAGTCACCTTAAGAGAACAGCATGGAGGAGATGGGAGAATGTACACACTGAAGTGACACAACAGAGCCACTTGGCTCCAGATCTCTTCTTTCTGTGCTCTGAATTCAAGAAGAAGACAAGCAGCATTGCAGAACTCAGGCATCTCTCTCCTACTGGGAAAGGAAGAAGGTGGCTTGTGAATGCATAAAAGGAAAAATGCTATTGCACATGCAAAATGGCTACAGTCAGACTTCAGAAACAACAGACACATCCATTATTTGGGGGTGGGGGTGGGGTTAGGTTTAAACAAAGATTTGGTCTGCTTTTCCTGAAATCCTTTAAATGGGAGACTGTTAAATTGAGATTTCACCTTTGTCTTGGAGAATGCTTTAGGAAGTCTAATTATTGGCATTAGTGATGAGTTGGAACTCTGATGAGTGAGGACAAATGTTCTTGACCAATAAATGCAGGGAGAGTGCTTCTGACAGAAAGCTTCCCATTGTACTTACTAGCTGGAGGTATAGATAGCCTATCTGACTCTTCAAATGTTTCCCAGCCGAGTCTTAGGGCAGGATATACTTATTCAAGTGAATTATATGATCACAAAATCAATTACTAGAGAAATACTTGATCAAAAGAGGTGGAAGGTGTATATTCCTGATAACCTGCCGTGGAATACATCAAAGATGATCTGAATTGATGGCTGGAACAGCTGAGTCAACAGCAAGTATCAAACAGTGATCTCATCACTTGAGGTCTTCCCCTCAAGATAGTGGAGAAATAGGATTGTTGAGTCTAGATCTATTTGAAGATCATCACAAATGAAAGGTTTCTAAATTCTTCTGTAAATCTAGAATGCAAGAGCCACAGTAATCCTGTTGGTTGGATGGACATACTTGAAACAGTCATAAAATGCCTACTGCTGGATTCTTGGTCTTCTCTAGTCCTCCTGGAATACATATTAATCCAGTTTAACTTTCCCATTTGTTTGGGTAGGTAGACACATTATCAAAGCACTGAGTTGCAGACACCTTTCATTTTCAATGACTGCTGATAATGCTTCTGTGGGACCCAGAAATATTTTTGTAAATTAGGAAGCTCCTAATAATGATGCTAGAAGCTTTTTCTTAAGAATTAAACATAGTGGATAGCAAATTAAGTTGTGGAATGAATAATGCTACTGGTACTAAGGGATGTGTTTTTAGCATATTGGTGTCCACAAGCACTAGATACAGCTTCAACTTTTTTCTTACTTTTGACAGACTCAAGAATAGGTTCAGGGCATCTTTTTCATGACCAAGTAAAAAAGCCTCAATGACTATTGCTTAGCATGGGTTCTGCTAGGAGTTCCTTCAGTGCAGTTCCTCCTATCATATGCATTTTATGATGCATATATAGAAATTATATTGTTTTTAATATGATTTCTTTAATCCTGGAAAGAACTATTCCATTAACTGGTTACAAATTTGGATTTTATATCTTCCCATTTTTAATGGGAAGGCTGATGAGGCTTTCTTATATTTAAAGCTAGAGTTCTCAATGGTTTACAAAAAGTAGAAAATAATTTGCTGTTGTATCTGTATTCCCTGAACAGTTTACTCTATTTTCTAGCTTGAAATTTTAACTAACCTAGCAAATGAAGCCAATATATCAACTCTTCTCAGAGAATTTCAGGTTTGTGCATTATTTATATTTTTATTGCATGCCATTCTATGTGATGTTTAGATTTAAACTAATTCCATATCCTTCTGTCCTTGCAAACTAGCTTAATACTGCTGTGTTGTAGGTAAGCAAGATTGTGATATGTTTCTACTTCTGGATTAGAGTAGTAGAAAATGATCTATTTAAAATTGTGTATACAGTTTTTGACTGTATGTAGTAAGGTAGTTTCAGGATACATTAATATTTGCTGTTAGGGTTTTTAAAGACAACCTATGTTTTTCTTTCTTTAGAGGTAGTCATTTGAATCACAAGGCCTTTTCACAAGTTATGGCTGCTATCAATCATATCTTAAATGTGATTATATTCATTGGCTCCTCTTCCAAGTAGCATTTTGGAATCACTTTTCATATTCTGCACACTATGTTCTAGTATCATCTTCAGACAGAAGGACAGTACTTTTACCAGAGACAATATTTCAGCCATGGATGGTTGCAGGGAGTTTAGTTCTCAATGCTTTGATAGGTTTGGGGTGAGGAATTTGAGAGGAATATCTTTGTTTTTAACTGTAACTTGCCTGTTTTAAGGCTTACATTAGTTTTCATCTGTTCTTCACTTCAAAATGGCAGGAAATTGTGTCATCAGTTTTCAACAGCCATGACCAGAAAGGCTCTGAGCTACAAAAAAGAGAGGACTCCAGAGCTGCAGGTTGTCTATCACTGCCAGAATTAGATTAACAAGAAGCCATGGCTTCTCAGACGTATCCCAACAGGAATTAGTCACAATGTTGTATTTCCAGCACATCACTATGGGGAAAACATAAACAGGCAGTTTACAGCCATACCATTTGGAGTAACAATGGTGGTTGTTAGTGGCCATATATGCAAAGGCACCCATTATTTGTGTTCCCCCAAAGTATTTTTTTTTTAGTCTGGCTTCCTTAGACTGTGCTAATTTAATAGACTGAAATGTTTCTGAAAACAATACATGAACCAAGCTATTTTTGTGCTCAGATTAATAGCTGTTGTTGAGTTACTTTGCTTTACTAATATACATGGAGATAGACTGATTCCTTCTGACATAGATTGGGTAGCTACAGCTAGCACATCATCCTATCCCCACAACTGTTATTTAAACACTGAAGCTAGTTTCCAAAGGTATTGCTTTGTTAAACTGATGAGTTAAATGAAATTCCTGTTTTATTCAGACCTATGTGAAAAGCCAAGATAAGCAATTTGCTGCAGCTGCAATCCAGGCAATAGGCAGATGTGCAACCAACATCTCAGAAGTGACTGACACATGCCTAAATGGCTTGGTGTGTTTGCTATCCAATAGGGATGGTAAGTTAATTATTCTATTTTGTGTTTTGAATGAATGAGAACTTTTATTTTCTGATAGCATTGTATCATAGAAGCATCTTAGAGGACTATATAGAAATATCATTTCCCTTAAATGACATGAGTTTGGGACAAATAATAGCATTGTACCTATTTGAGGATCTTCAAAATGATTTTCTGATTCTTTTATTAGCATAGATTAACCTCAGTATACTAATCTAATGTATATTCCAGGCTTTCATAGAGAATATAATTAGTTTTTTCCCGGTTGCATTAAAGTAGCTGTGCTGCAGAGGGTGCTATAAGCAGAGAAATATGGGGGTTTTATGTGTGTTAAGTTATTCAATAAGCATATCAAACTGTTTAGACTAACCACTAATAAATATGTGCACAGTTCATAATTTATTTTATTCTTTCTTAATATATAGATTAGAAAAAATAGAGATACATAGTACATTTGTATTTTTATCAGGCGTCCAAATTATCCCTGATGCTTTTCTGTGCAATTACCACTTTACACATTAAAATATAATCTGCTTTTTCAGTTGCTGAGGTACTTTATTTTACTTTGAGGCTATTCCCTGTGCTGTAGACATAAGTATGTGTTTAAAAATGTAGTTTCATCTTTGCATTATTTTATAGCTAGATTAAAACTACAGATACCAACAATATCTTATGAATAACAATCTTGGCTGTGTCAAACAGTCTTGGGAAGGGGAGATTTGTAGAAAAAAAATAATGGACTGAAATAATTATGTCCATCTGCTACTCTCTTCCTAAAATTCCATTGCACAGATGTATCTAGAATTCAGGTTGAACCTTTCCCATCTGGGAAAGTAGTTACAGAAGAAAAGTGAAAGGTAGGGGTATGCTTAAATATCTTTCCCATATTTTCTCACTATTTTATTTATTTATTTACTTACCTACCTACCTATTTACATGATTTTTGCACTGTCCAGTCTCACAATTCTGGATAGTTTACAAGAATCTTAAATAGTAATTTTAAAATACAAACAATGTAAAATAGAAAAATCAAAGCTCTAACAAAACACAGCCATACCTCTCCTCCACTAGTCTTTCAAGACATCAATAGCCTGCTTAAAATGGAAGATTTTCAGAAGCTTCATAAAGGCCCAGAGAGAAGGGACCAAACTTATCTTCAGGGGCATGATGTCCATAAGATTGAAGCTACAACCAGAAAGTCTTGCTATTTATTTATTTATAGTTTATTCAATTTAGGCACCACCTGATTCCAATCAACTTTGGACTCACAGCATAAAAACAAAGAACAAATATACAAAAGAGCAGATAACAATAGTCCAATCCTTGCCACCTCATTTCATGAGAGGGGTGCATTCTTGATGACCTAACAGGAAGAGCAGAGTCATTTTGGATAAGGTGGTCCCTAATGTAATACCATGCCATGAAGGACTTCATAACTGATATCTGACATTTTGAATTTGGCTCAAAGCCAACTGACAACCAACTAAGTAATTGATAAATAGATGTTATCCTGCAGTATTTGGGTCTACCCACCAGCAGCCTGGCTGCTGCATTTTTACCAGCTGCAGCTGTGCCAGTCTGCCAGAGAGCACATTTTAGTAATTCAACCATGTGTTGATAAGAGCAGGAGTTTCTGCTTCCTGATTAGGTTATCCAGGAACTGATATACCAGTGAAGTTGGGCAAACGCCCCCCTGGCCAGAGCCTTCATCTGCTGTTGAGGTAGGAGCTTTAACTTGAAGAGGACTTACAAGTCCCAGACCTCTCCACAGATGGATTATGTCCTATCAGCAGCAACAACTGGGAGACCAAGATGCCTATGGATGAACAGCAACTCCATCTTGCTTGGGTTTAGTCTGAACTTATTTCTCCCCATTCATTCACTGCTAGACCTCCACAGCATCTCCAGGGTAGAGATACAGAGTTGAGTACCATCAGTGTAGTGATGGCACCTCACACTAAACTGATATATGACCTCTTCCAACAGTTTCATATATGTATTAAATAATATAAGAAACAAAATCAAGCTCTGACAAATCCTGCATGACAGCTGACTGGAATTGTCTACTCAGATAAGAATGGAACCACTGTAAAACAATGTCCCCAACTCCCAACCCTCAAAGGTGGTCCACTAGGATACCGTGAATGATGGTATCAAATACCACTAAAGGAAGGATAGACTGCTCCCATTAAAGTCCAATAGTAACCAGTGCTGTTTCTGTCCTGTGCCTGTGCCAGAATCCATTTTTATATTAATATTATTAAAGATTACAATTTATAACAATAAAAACTAATACAAACTGAAAAAGGATAAAAAAATAGAAGGTGCAGAAAAGAAAAAGAAGAAATCAACATATTTATTTTAACCTTGATCAAATAAACCGACTTCATATTCCTTCCTTTTACTTCTAACGCTCTTGATCTTTAGTCGCTTCACATAATGTCCTAGAACTTGATTTCTTT